ATCTCCAGCCTGTTGAGCTGTCTGCAGGCTCTGCAGTGTGCTCTGGGTCTCCTAACTTTTGTGAGCCGTCACCCATGCTGGGGTGGGCTTTGGTGATGCAGCTGTCTCCTGTAAGTGACCTCTCACCCATATTCCTATGAGTATCCCAATAAAACTCATTGCTTCATCAATATGCAACCACCAAATTAAATTTGGTGGTTAGTGTCTGTACTTGGGTCTGTGTGGGATCCCTACCTGGGGTGAACAGACATGTGTATTGCATCTCCCCAGGAAAATTGTTGTCACACAACAGTATATCCTTGGAAGACTACAGTTGGGCGATAGTGGCACATCCCTTTAATTCCAGCACTGGGGAGGCAGAGGCAGGCAGATCTGTGTGAGTTTGAGGCCAGCCTGGTCTACAGAGCGAGTTCCAGGACAGCCAGAGTTACACAGAGAAACCCTGTATCAGAAACTCCCCCAAAAAAATAAAATCAAAAGACTATACCAGAAGACTATGTAACTAACACTGGTAAGATTTCTCCCAGACCTGAAGTATCAAGGCACCAGTGAGAACCCCTCTGGCCCATTCTGCATTCATTAGTCCATTCATCCAGCAGCCCTAGGTGAAGATGAGGAAACCGATGCCAAGACAAGCATGTTGGCCAAGGTCAAGCAATAGGGTTGAGCTAGAGCACCCCCCCAAACACACACACACACACACACACACACACACACACACACACGCACGCACGCACGCACGCACGCACGCACGCACGCATGCATACTCTCTCTCCTCTAAAGCAGAAACAAGTATATTAAGGATATAGTAGAAGAAAACTATTTGGGTGGGACTGGCCACAGAACTAATATGGAAAACCGTTAAGGGAACTCCGTGCCCAGCAGCTCTAGGCTTTTCATAGAGGGCGTCCCCAGCCGCTTTGGACTATGTCCTTTTTTTTTTAATGGACTCCATCCATGGTGCCTTAGGAAGAGTCATAGGTGGTGAGGAATGGAAGACAGGAGAACACATCCCAGCCCCCTGCCCTGCATTTGCCAATAACTATCCCTCAGATCCTTGTGGAATCTTGTTTGTTTACTTATTTTGTTTGGGGTCTTGCTATGTAATCCAGGCTGGAAGTTCGATGCCCCTGCCTCAGCCTCTGGGCCTTCTGGACCGCCTCTTGGTTCTATGATTAACAGAGGGTAGATGTGAGGCTGTGTGCTTTAGGTTCCAAGCCACGTGTCTTGCTACAAGTGCCTGCTTTGTCATCTTTCAGACAAGAAACCGGACTTCTCCATCACTAAAGGGGAGAGAAGAGCTTACGCCATCGACACGATTCTTCCGCCAGATATCAGAGCAAAACCACAACTACTTGTCCAAGGTATTGTGGGACACCTGAAAGGGGAAGCATAGTCCCTAGTGTCACTTCACATCAGTCTACTGGGTTAGCACTGTCTTACAGAATAAGATCATCGGAATCTCTTCCCTTCCCTTCCTTCTCCCGCCCTCCACCGGCCGGCCTGTCTATCCCTGCCAGCCCTAGGACAGAGCTCTCAAGTGCCAGCTCTAGGGTAGACACAACATCCCAGGCCCTACGCTGAAAGGACTCCCTCATGGTCAGGCCCATAAACAGTGAGGCTTGCTCTCAGAGCAGTGTGAGAGGCACACGTTGCTGGATGTGGCCTTCCCTCCGCTGAGCTCTCGGTGCTCTGGCCTGCGCCTGTACCGCCTGCACTGGCCGTTCCAACTTGTGATTTCTTGTGGGTGTCGAGGCTTTCTCCTTCAGCTGTGACCTCCCATCTGAAGCACCAGCATCCCTCCAACGCATTACGATTTCTCAAAGTAAGATCCGGGTCTCAACGGGCCACCTGAAGTGCTGGCTACAAGGCAGAGGTACCCAGGCCCACCTTAGGGCCACTAGCCAGACTCTTGTGGGCAGGGCCCAGGGTTCTGCTTGCTATCGCATTTCCCAGATGACGTCACGGTGCACCTAAATGGGTTCGTGTTTGGTTGATAGAGCCACACAGGGCACGGATGTGTAGACAGACACAGCTTTCTAAACATATTACTTTTTAATCTACTTTATTTTTAATTAAAATATGATTATGTCATTTCCCTCCCTTTCCTCCCTCCAGCCTCTCCCATGCCCCCTCAATTAGTGGCCTCTTTTTCTTTAATATATATTTATTATATGCAGAAAGAAATGTATATTATATAAATATATTATAATAAATATTGAATATTATATATTAATGTGTATTTATTATATATATAAAATACTCTAAGTGAAAAGCTCAAAAAGGCTGTGCTAGTCAGGTCTATAGAGTGAAGCCCTGTTAAAAGAGAGATGGTAGGGCTGTGCGGTGGTGGCGCACGCCTTTAATCCCAACTCGAGAGGCAGAGGCCGGCGGATCTCTGTGAGTTCGAGGCCAGCCTGGTCTACAGAGTGAGTTCCAGGACAGCCTTCAAAACAATACAGAGAAAAACCCTGTCTTGAAAAACCAGAGAGAGGGAGAGGCGGGGGGTAGGCGAGTGGAGAGGTTGCCCAGTGGTGAGGAACACTTATTGCTCTTACAGAGGACCTGGGTTTGCTTGTGAGCGCCCACACCATGGCTTACAAGCATCTGTAATTCCATTTTCCAAGGATCTGACACCCTTTTCTGACCTCTGAGGGTACTAGGAGCACACGGTGTCCTCACATATGCAGGCAAAACACACACACACAAAATAGAATCTTTTCTTGTTGTTTTGAGACAAGGTCTGGCTGAGTAGCCATGGCTGGACTGGAACTCACAGAGATCCCCCTGCCTCCCCTGTGCTGGAATGAAAAGTGTGTACCACCAGCCCCAGCCAATAATCTGGTTTTTTTTTAAGTGCTTTAGATAAATATGAAGTATTCCATCCTTTAAAGCCTATATTTTTTATTTAATTTTGTTTTTTTATATTTATTTTTGGTTTTTCGAGACAGGGTTTCTCTGTGGCTTTGGAGGCTGTCCTGGAACTCGCTCTGTAGACCAGGCTGGCCTCGAACTCACAGAGATCCTCCTGCCTCTGCCTCCCAAGTGCTGGGATCAAAAGCTACTTTTTCTTTTCTTCTTTCTTATGAGTTGAAGACTCCATCCCAATTTGGTTGATGGAGCCCTCTTGGCTATGTAAGACTTCACTGTAGCCAGGCGTGGTGGAATACGCCTTTAATCTTAGCACTGAAGAGGCAGAGACAAGGAGATCTCTGTGAGTTCAAAGACAGCCTGGTCTACAAAGTGAGTTCCACGTCAGCCAGGACTGTTACACAGACAAACCCTGTCATGTAAAATAAACAAACCAAAAAAAAAAACAAAACAAAACAGATGTCCCTGTCTGGCTCCGGCTTGATGGTCCTCTTGGCAACATCTTTCCCTGTCTGTCTCTGGGCCCGGGCTTGACGGACATCTCAGTGAAAACAAACCAGCACAGACAAAACCGCCTCTCACAGCAACCTGGCTCTCCTGCCTGGTGGGAGTGTGAACAGTGTTCCCTTTTGAGTGTGAGTGGCTCCCGCCCATGTGTGAACACTTAGGGATACTGAGGTAGGAGGCTGAGCCTGGATGGAGGGATCGTACCACGGCCACAGGCCTCGAAGCCCACATCTTCTGGTTCCTGCTCCAGCGTGATGTCAGGAGCCACTGTCCCTGCTGCCTTCCCAGGTGTCACGCCTTCCCTGACATGGGATGCAGACAACAATTCCTGATTTAATTTGTTGCCAAGCGAAGCCTTCTTCCCTCGTGTCAGTGATGAGAAAAGGGACTACTTACTGCTCGGGGTGTCTCGGGGTGTCTTTGGTGTCTTGGGGTATCGTCTCCGGGTGTCTCGGGGTGTGATGGAGCCCTCCTCCAGTCACCCCCCCCCCCGGAGTGAGGCTCATCTAACACTTCAGTGTGCGAGCTGAGATGTCGAAGACCGTGCTTCCGAAATGCCAGCCATTTCAGTGTTGTCGTCAGTTTGTCACCATGTGTGTCTTAGTCACTTCATTGTTTTCAATGCCATTAACTAGTTCGCTTTTTTAACGCCTTCTCCTAAATAATAATGCACATGAAGTCAATACTTTCCTTTTAACTTCTTTTTTTGGGGGTCGGGGTCTTAGTGTATCTAGCTTTGCCTCAAATTCATTTTGTAAACAAAACTGACCTTAAACGTTTTGTTTGTTTGTTTCTTTGAGTCTTTTTTTTTCTTTAAGGCAGACTTTCTCTGTGTAACAGTCCTGGCTGTCTCTAGAACTCACTCTGTAGACCAGGCTGGCCTCGAACTGAGATCCACTCTCTGCCTCCCAAATGCTGGGACTAAAGGTGTGTGCGCCTCCACCACAGGGCCAACCTTGAACGTCTGATCCTCCTGCCTCAAACACCCCCCTCCAAGTGCTAGGCTTACGAGTGAGGGCCGCCACAGTTGGTTTGTGGAGCGCTAGGCGGAACCCAGGGCTTTCTGAATGCTAGGCAAGCACTCTCCCAAGGTCTAGCTCCAGTCTGGCCTTTCTGAGGCAGGTAACAGCATCCTGGCTGTCTCTCTAGGACTCTTGCAGGGGTAGGAGTCCAAGCCTTCCCCACTCACCAGGGCTCTCCCACAACCCTCCCCTCACATTCTACCTGGCACTGAAACAGTCCCTTGCTGATGCCACTCGGGAGGAAGCTTTGGCTAGCCATCAAGGTGTACTAGCCCGCCCACCGTGGCCAGCATTTCAGCACTGACTTCCACAAAGAGTGGTTTGTGCTGACCAACTCCTCTGAGTTTCATATGAGAAGTGTAAGCTGGCCACATGCCTTGTTGGGGAGCCCAGCACTGCCCACCCTGGGCCATAGTTGTGAGTTTCAGACCCCCTCCCAATCGGTAAACACGAGCTCACCAGTATGTCCCTAATCTGCCTTGTTGAAGTAGGCGACATCCCATGCCAGCCTCTGGCACTTCACAAAGAAAAGACAGCTTGAGTCCTGGGAGCCCTTGCTGGCAACAGATCTGTTTTCCCCGTGGCTCTGTTTGCCTTTGAAGTAACGTATGACTTGTATCGGGCCACATGTTGAAGGAGGATGTTTAATGCCAGCCAAAGAAAACAAGCTAAGGTGTGCTGACAGCTGCTGCTGGCTTATGATTCACCCGAGGGCAAACTGAAACCAGGCGAATTTCAAGGGGCTGCCACCGAGGATGCCTCCAATCCACAGATGGGCTGTTCCCTGTGGGACCTGGGACCGCAGCATGCTCCCAGCTCTCTGGAGACGAACGCTGGGAAGCAAGGTTTGAGGAAGTAGAGTGTTCTTGGAACAGCTGGACATCCAGAGGACAGTGCCAGTTTCTCTTTCTGACTGGCAGTGACCTGAGGTGGCTTCCATTAGCTTCTCACCCCAGAGCTTTCAGCTGCCAGTGGACGGGTGGTCCTCTGCTTACCTCTTGGAACTGTATCCAGGATGAATGAAACGTGGTTCAGAGTCAGGGCTGGATGTCGGGAGGACAGCTTGTGAAGATGGGTGGAGCCCTACCGTGTTTTCAAACAGCAGGCATCCCCACCTGAGCTCACAGAGGACCCACGTGCGGAAGACTATTGCAAGGTTCCAGCCTGCTTCAAAGTGGGATAACTTGGGGGTGGGCAGGGAGGAATCGGGACTGGAGTAAAGTGCTGCTGTGATTTAAAAAGTGGCATGGGAGAGAAAGACGCCATGCAAGAGAGCTCAATTGGAGGGGCTTTTAATTAGGGGAAAGGGGGTGGGTAAAAGAGAGGGGGAGACCAACCTCTGGGGACAGGAGAGACAGAAGAGAGAGAGACAGAGACAGAGACACAGAGAGACGGAGAGACGGAGAGACAGAGACAGAGAGACAGAGACAGAAGGGGTGGGCAGGGCCTTCTAAAAGGGACCATCATGAATGTGCACAGGCAGTGCTCTTAGTGGCTGCAGCAGAGGGCGCATCCTGTCAGAACCCCTAGGGCAGGTCAGTACGCATGCCTGAATGCTAACAGTCTGACTTGGACATTAATTCAGTGCCCCCCAAAGATGCATAAGCTGCAGTCTAGGTCCCCGCAGTGGCTCCCTGGGAAAAGGCGCAGTTTTTTAAGGGCTGGGCCTGGAGGGAGGACTTCAGCACTTAGAGGAAACTGTGAGTGTCCTGTCTCTTCCCAGCTTCCTGTTCCAAGACATGATTTCTTCCTTCTGCAGTTGTCCACGATGAGGTGACACAGCCAAGAGGAGAAGAGAGGATCCATTCTGTGTACACTTTTAGTGTTGAGAACTGAACTGAAAGAACTTCTTTGCCTTATAAAGTAGCTTGTCTGAGGTATTTTGTTATGGTAAAGACAAATGAATGCATGGGCTCATTTTGTATTCTAAATGTGCACGCTCTTGCTTTCAACTTGATCGTTTTCAAGATAATCGTGAAAGGTCGAATCATGTTTCCAGGTCAGCGAAATCTTTCCGGATACAGTACTCAGGAAATATTTTATGGTTTGACTTGGCAATGAAAAGGGACTGATTTTGAGAGGTAGAAGTGGCAATGTAAGCCCAGGAGCTGCTTGTAGGGGACAAAAAGGATTGGAAGGGCAAAGTTCAAATAAATGAGAGCACAGTTTCTTCTTGGGGATTCCAGCAGCAGGACCCAGGAATGACACTGAACACACATTTTTCTGAGTCTTCAGGGTCTGCAGAAATATTGTGTCACTTGGCTCATTTAGGAAACAATGGGCAGCAGAAATCCCAGAACTCTGGAGGCAGAGGCAGGCGGATCTCTGTGAGTTTGAGGCCAGCCTGGTCTACAGAGAGAGTTCCAGGACAGCCAGGCCTATTACACAGAGAAACCCTGTGTTAGAGATGGGGGAGAAGAGAAGAGATAAGTAAAAGGACCCGGGGACAGATAAGTCACAGAAAATCTAGAAGGAAGATGTGCTGAGAGATGCAATAAAATTTTCTAATCTTAAAAGGACACTGTGAGCCGGGCGTTGGTGGCGCGCGCCTTTAATCCCAGCACTCGGGAGGCAGAGGCAGGCGGATCTCTGTGAGTTCGAGGCCAGTCTGGTCTACAAGAGCTAGTTCCAGGACAGCCTCCAAAACAATACAGAGAAACCATGTCTCGAAAAACCAGAAAAGAAAAGGGCACTGTTGGGTCTGGACGGAGTCATCTGTGCCATCGGTCTTAGTTACCTTTCTATTGCTGTGACTAAACACCTGACCAGGGCAGTTGAGGAATGAGGGTTTGCTTTGGATCACAGCTCCAGACGGGGAAGACATGGCTGTGGGAGTGGGAGTTGCTGGAATGTCGCACCTACAGTCAGAAAGAGAGAGAACCCTGGTGCTCAGTTCCCGCTCCCCTTGCTAATCCTTCCAGAACCCCGGTGACAGCACGGGGCTGCCCCACACCCCAGGTAGAACTTCCCAACTCAGCTCACCCAATCTAGAAAACGCCCTGCACACGCCAAGAGTCTGTTTCTAAGTGCCACCAACCTAACAAGATTCAGCACCATGGTGTCCTTTTCTCTGCCACGGAGGACAACGAAAAGCCACTCTGAGCCAACTCCATGGCAGGCGGGAGAAGGAGGAAGTGACACCCATATCAGGAGGGACAATCAGGTCCCCCCAACACACACACCCAGAGGAAGGAGCCGGAAGCACCAAGGACCAAGGCAGGGGCAATCTTCGAAAGATGTGCATGATGGACAGCACCTAACAGTTTCCTGTCATCTCTGAACAGCTGTCCTTCTCAAGCCACAGAGGACAAATCAGAGCCCAGGACTAGAGAGTTCTGGAGTGGCGTCTCCTGGTATTTCGAGGCCAGCCATCAGGGTGGGAGTGAGTCTCTGGCTTCGAGGTGGAGAGCCCAAGCGTCTCTTGAACGCCTGAGGGTAGCCATGAGGCCAGAGGCTGCAAGGCCATGCACCATCACTCCAGTGGGCTTTGGTCCAGCACGGGTAAGAACGTAAAACGGGAGTAGGTATGAGAGCGGGCCGCTCGCTGCCACGTTCTGTTAGCAGCCCCTCGTCCTGCTTCGCCAGACTCTTGGCACGGTACTCAGTTCAGGAGAGATCAGGCGGGGCTATCCTGAGAACCACCCCACAACAGGCCAGACGGAGTGTGCCTCCTGCCCCAGTTTCCAGAGGATGCATGCAGAGATTCACCTGTAAGCACGGGGTCACTCCTCCGAGCAGACGTTTGATTCGGTGACCACGGTCAGCACCCACCACTTTGGCAACTTGGACCTCTCAACTTGAGCGTGCAGGGGTCTGGATCAGCTCTTGAAGCAATATGCAGCCAGAGGCTTCCCTCCTCCGCCAGAGATAAACTATACATACCGGAGGCTCATAACGGAGACTTCTGGGGGGAGTTGGAGGAGAGAGCGAGCTGCAAGGAGGGTCTGGGGGGATGTGGGTCACCCAACCTGAAAACACACAGCTTCCTCTTCCGAGTCCAGACACTAAGAAAGCAAGCTGAAAAACGGGCCAGGGAGGACGAAGAATGAAAACGGAGGGAGAGAATTCCCATGGAAACCACTGAGTGCAAAACCCTTTCCTTGACCTCACTGGCCCATCCCAGCCTCAGGCCAACTTAAGGTTAAAAGAAAGCGACGATGGTTTCGAGAACCCTGTGAAGGGTGTAGATGAGAAGAAAGACCAAAGAGTTACAAACAGAGCCTTTACCATCTGAATTTCAAGAGACGTTCACTAGACACTGTGTTCTGCGGTGCAGTGTGTGTGTGTGTGTGTGCATGTGCGTGCGCTTGCTCAAAGAACATAACGCTAAGAAAGAACAAAGCAGGCAATGATCTGGAATGATTGAGGAAGCTCCGGCCATTTAGACTTTGGAAGGGGAGATCACCTGCTGCCGCCCACAGACTGAGCCAGGCTGGGGCTGCTCTCAGGTTTGGCTCAGCGGAAAGTTCCCCCAGTTTGGTTCCTCCTCAGTTTTGACACTGGCATTTCTTGGCGATGGCCTGGTCCCAGCTGTTCCCTTCCCCGTCCCCTCTTCCTAACTACTCTGTCCCCTGCAGCCCCCTACCCCGCCCTCATCACTGACAGATAAATGGGAGTCTTAGAAACTGAGGTCCTGGGTTCCTGTGGCCTTTGTCGGTACTGTTTCCCTCACCCGAGCTCTTCCATGCTCTTCATGACCACACACTCACACACACTCACACACACTCACAGACTCACACACTCACACATACACTTACACACACACTCACACACACTCACACACACTCACACACATACCACACAGACTCACACACTCACACAGACACACACACTCACACACACTCACACACACCACACACACTCACACACACTCACACACACTACCACACAGACTCACACACTCACACAGACACACACACTCACACACACTCACACACACCACACACAGACTCACACACACACCACACACTCACACACACTCACACACACTCACACACACACACCCCATGTCCCGTACCAACCTGGTTGACTCCTACCCCCAGCACTGGTGTCTAGGTGTGCACACCATGGTTGTCTCTTTTCTTTATGTGTGTGATGGGAGTCAGAGTCAGATCTCTATGGTTACCTCACAAGAACTTGACTGACTGACTCATCTATTTGATCTTATTTTTGGTTTCCTGAGACAGTATCTCACTATGTAGCTCTTCCTAACCTGGGACTTCCTATAGACACAGACTGGCCTCAAATTCATAGTGGTCACCAGCCTCAATCATACCAGGCCTCCCCTCGTGACCACAGGGCTGACGAGGAACTGCCCGGTGCCACCAGAGAGGGTCGTGTAGCCTGAGGAGGAAGAAAAAAAAAATGGAAGCGTAGTGTATCACTTTGGAATCACAGGGAGGGGTAGGAGCAGCTAACTCTTCTTCGTCAGAGACCAAGCACTTCTGCTGGACACTGGCCAACGTGCTTAGCATGAAAAGCGACCCGTCCCTCTGAGGCTCACACAGGACGGGTCTTCAGCAAGGGATGCATCTGGGTGCCGGTGGGATTTGTGAACAACTTTTCTGGCATTACTCTTAACGTAGTGCTACCCTATCTGTCTGCTCTCCCTAGGTAAGCCCGTAAGGAACCTGTCGAGGTTTTAGAGCTAAGTCTGCCTTCTGCAAGGAAAGCGTTAGTGGTTGGAGCCCAAAAGCAGTGAGAAGAGACGAGTACAGACCCTCGGCCCACGGAGTGCATTGTGGGGCACCTGCAGGGCGCCTGTGTGTAGCCCCAGCACCCGGGCCCTCCGTCTCCCAGCAGCCAGGAGCTAAGGGCTCGCAGGCAGCAGACCTTTTCCCGTTACCGAAGACGGTTGGCTGGGGACTGGCAAAGGGACCAAGCCCTCTCCTGAGGTCCCTGTCGCAGTCACATTACCCAGTCTGCTCCCTTCACCCCAGGGATGTTGTTCCCAAGAGCTCCTCACGCCTCCCACACGAGCACCCCCATCTCAGGAACTGTTTCCAGGGAAACGAGTACAAGACAAACCAGTCTTTCATAACTGCTATGTCTGCTTACGTCACCGTCACTGGAGTCCCACGGGAAGAGTAGGCTAGCCTGGGAACCCCTAAGTCTGTCATCTTGCACCTGGAAGGGATGCATCCAGAGGGGGTCAAAGGGGCCTTTGCGAACAGGAAGCACAGAGGCCATTGCTAGCCTTCAGGGGAGGAGGGGGTCCTAGCATTTCCAGACTTGAAAAGCGTCCTTCTTTTGGCATTTCCAGACAGCGCTGGGCAGCCCTCGCCGCCCTGAAGTTCCCCCTCACTTCAAAGCCAGACTCCCTCCTTCCTTAGCATGTCCCGCTGCTTCCTCTCCCCTCTTCCTCGCGGAGCTGTGCTCTTGCCAGCAAAGAAAGTTGAAAGGGAACAAAGACATATGGTTTTCCTATTAAGACTGACGCCCACATGTGAGGGAAGCCAGAGGGAAGCGTTCAAATAAGGGCAACGGAACTACGCTTGTGTGGCACTCGTTTTTTGAGGCTGATTTAAAAAAAAAGCTTACCGGAAACAATGAAAACTCGATGTTGTTCAGCTTATTGAGTTTTTAGAATATTTAGAACATACTGGAGACCCCTCTACAGAGATGCAGGGAAGCATAGAAGACATCAGGTCTGGGGCATCACAAATGGGTACAGATTTATTTCTGAGTTGCATGCGGGGGTACATGCCCAGATTCATCAGGGTGAGGTAGTGGGGGGTCATTTGGACCTGACCAGGGCCACATTGAGAGACCCCATCCCACCCTCTCCCTCCAAAGTCTCACTTCTGCCACGCACTAGCCATGGGACCTCAATGCCACACACTTGGGATTCCCAGCACTTCAGAGGTGGTGGCAGAGGAACTTTGGGTCTGAGACCAGCCGGGGCGACAG